CTTATTGGGTCAGCAACCCAGCCAAGCAACACAGTTGGAGCCTCCCTCCTCCCTGGCCGGCAGGGAGGGAGGGAGAGGAGCTGCTTCCTTTGAAATTTAAGGACATCATTTAAGGGACATCCATCAATAAGCGACAGCAGCGGGACTGGCCCTGGAATAAGGGACTGTCCCTTCAAATAAGGGACACTTGACAGCTATGGGCCAGGACAGCTGGAACTCCAAAGTCTCCAAGAGAAGGAAAGGAAAGACTGTAGTCCCCTACAATTCCTTCTCTGCATGTTTTCAGTTAGTATCTCTTAAAGGGTAAGAGTAAGCCACTTCTGCCTGCAGATTGAGGGAATCCCCAGCCACACCAGCCCCTAGCCAGCCAATCAGCTGACTCTGGGGGCGTGGCCTGCCCTATAAAGGCAGGACGTGGCTGGGGATCTCCCTCTTTTGCCGCCTACCAGCTGTTCCTGTTTCCCACCCTCCCGCCCTATGAGGTTTTTGTTCCTTGACCTTGCTATGGACCTTGGTTGGTCACCATTGAGGGGCCTGGTAGCAATTTTCCCACTTGGCAAATGGGCAACAGGCACTTGGTTTTTGCCAACCTCGTAGCAAATCATCACAATTTTCTTGGTATTTTTTTTAACTTCTTTTTATTGGTTTTCTATTATCAAACAATAACACCAACAAAAAAGGAAAAACAAAAAAACAAAAAAAATCTACAAAACAATACGAATGCCTAACCACCAATACCAAGAAAATTGTATTGGACGAATGCCTAACCACCAATACAATTTTCTTGGTATTGGTGGTTAGGCATTCGTATTATTTTGTAGATGGAAGAGGAGAGGAAGCGCCATCACCTGCCCCACATATTGAAGGGTAGACGGATAAAGGATCCTTGGGGGCGTGGCCCTGTCTGAAGCCTGGGGAGGTGAGGGCCTAAGGCACGCCCCCTATTGGGGACCCTGGGGGAGTTCCTAGTTGATGTGCATCAGCAGGACTCCCCCTACTGGTGGTTAACCCATCCCAGACTTCAAGCGGACGGACCGAAGTCGGATATAGTTGGTTAGGACCAATGCTTAAGCCAATACCGCTCAAAACCTGTAACCAATAAAGTTGTGACCTTATTTAGCCCATTAACCTTAATAATTGTGTCATGTGTCTTTATTTCCACTGGGGGGGGGGAGGACTGCCACGCAAATAGGCTTAAACCAAATGAATGCAAATCTTCTACCTTCAGGACACTTCCTTGTGTAGCCACCACAGGACCCACAAGAGCAACTTTCTCCTTCTGAGGTTTCCAGCAACAGGCATTCAGAAGCATCGCTCCCTCCAACTGCGGTGGCAGAGCAGAGCCAGTAAGGCTAGAAGCCATCGATAGCCCTCTCCTCTTCCATGCTTTTGTCTATCTTAAAGCCATCCAGGCTGGTGGCTGTCCCTGCCTCCTGTTCCAAAATTCAGGACCACTGGACATCCACGAGTGAAATCCTGACATTACTGAACATGTGGACTGACAACATGAAAGCTTGCCACCGTAAAGAACTTTGGGCATGGATGTCTGCTGATGCTAGGATTTCCATAGCTCAGCAATGGAAAACCTTTTTAAAAACCACCTCCATTTGTCTTTGTCGTATAAGAACTTATGGACTTTGGCTATTGCGGGGGAAATAACACATAAACTGTCTGTTTCCAGGGCGACGAAGGATCTAGAATGCTTTTATGTCATCGGGCGAGATTTTATTTCCTATTCTTCAGATATTCGCCATCCACACCAGCTCAGGAAATGTAGAAGATTATTTTTTTAGTATGCTGTCTGTTATTATTGCCTGTATTATGTGCAAGGAAGTTATCTCAGTTGTGGTGCTGATCATGTCAAGGTTGTGGGTTCAATCCCCACAGGGAAATGTCCCTGCATTGCAGGGAGTTCGACTAGGCGATCCTTAGGATCACCTACAATTCTATGATTTTTATTATGATGATCCATAAATTTATGTTCTTCATGTTGTACACCACCCTGGGATCTTTGGATGAAAGGGAGGTATATAAATCAAATATCTCCAGGGCTGTCACAGGGAAGAGGGAGCATGCTTGTATTTTCCTGCTCTGGAAGGCTGGGACTCGAACCCATGGCTTCAAGTTACAATAAAGGAGATTCCGACTAAACATTCAGAAGAACTTTCTGACAGTAAGAACTGTCTGACAGTGGAGCAGACTCCCTTGGAAGGTGGTGGACTCTCCTTCGCCAGAGGTTTTTAAGCAGAGGTTGGACGGCCATCTCTGGCTGCAGTTCTGGCATTGCAAGGGGCCGAACAAGATGACTCTTGTGGGGGGGGGTCCCTTCCAGTTCTACTATTCTATTGTAGCCTGTGACTAAGAATGGAGAAAAGCAATGACAAACCTAGACAGCATCTTAAAAAGCAGAGACATCACCTTGCCAACAAAGGTCCGTATAATTAAAGCTATGGTTTTCCCAGTAGTGATGTATGGAAGTGAGAACTGGACCATAAACAAGGCTGATCGCCAAAGAATGGATGCTTTTGAATTCTGGAGCTGGAGGAGACTCTTGAGAGTCCCATGGACTGCAAGAAGATCAAACCTATCCATTCTGAAGGAAATCAGCCCCGAGTGCTCACTGGAAGGACAGATCCTGAAGCTGAGGCTCCAAGACTTTGGCCACCTCATGAGAAGAGAAGACTCCCTGGAAAAGACACTGATGTTGGGAAAGATGGAGGGCACAAGGAGAAGGGGACGACAGAGGACAAGATGGTGGGACAGTGTTCTCAAAACTACTAAAATGAGTTTGACCAAACTGCAGGAGGCAGTGGAAGACAGGAGTGCCTGGCGTGCTCTGGTCCATGGGGTCACGAAGAGGCAGACACCACTAAACGACTAAACAACAACAGCAAGAATGAAGAGGGCAGCCAAACCCCTTTGTCCAAGCTCTGAGCCCCCCTCCTCCCGCGACATCTTAAAAGAACAGGCGGTGGCACAGAGAGGTCAAGGAGGGCATCTGCAGAGGAGCTGCAAAGCCAACCCAAGTGGAGATGAAGAGGATGGAGGGGACCCCTGGGAGGAAGAGGAAGAGCCCCTGCCTTGTTATCCTCAATCACCAGGCTCAGCCTCCCAGGAGCCCACGGCTTGCAGGAACCTGGACTGCTTCACGTCTGTGGTTTGCTCCTTTGAACGGCAGCTTTCATTTTCCATAGTAGCAGCAGCCGGAGGAGAGATAAATAAACCCCAGCCCTTCTCCTGGCCCAGCTAAATAAGCCTCCTCCAGCCAAGCGGGCCTTGAACCCTTGCCAGTGTTTTTCCCCCAACGGCCAATCAAGCCATTTATGATGCTCTCCATCCTTAACCCTGCTGGGCTGGTGGCCAAGGAAGAAACTGTTTTGCTCGGCAGATTTTGGATCTTCGCACGCTGGTGGTGTCCTCGCACAGGACCCTGGAGCGCTTGCCAGTGGCTACCTAGGGAAGGAGAGGGCTAAGGAGGCGACCTTTGCAAGCAATGCCAGCCCTTGTGACTGGCAGGCAGCATGAGGCCCCTGGATGGGCTGGGGCTCTAGCGTGGAACTAGACCCACCACAGAAACCATGCAAGATTGGATCAAGGAAGAGATAGGAGAGGAAGATGAGATGGTGTTAGGGGCAGGCAGTTGTCCTTGAACCCCAGCCCAGTGTGTGCATTCTCCAACCTACTTCTAGATTACTGCAATGCACTCTATGTGAGGCTTCCTTTGGAAGCTGCAGTTAGAGCAGAATGCTGCAGCACGATTGCTGACAGAAGTGAAGCCTTGCCTCCTCCATATAATCCCTGTGCTCAGAGAGCTCCACCGCTTGCTGATTTCCCACAGGGTCAAGTTCAAGGTGTTATTATTAGTATATAAAGCCCTTAAATGGTTGGAGGATGGATAGCAGCTAACAGATTGAGGTTGAATCCTGACAAGACAGAAGTACTGTTTTGGGGGGACAGGAGGCGGGCGGGTGTGGGGGACTCCCTGGTCCTGAATGGGGTAACTGTGCCCCTGAAGGACCAGGTGCACAGCCTGGGAGTCATTTTGGACTCACAGCTGTCCATGGAGGCACAGGTCAATTCGGTGTCCAGGGCAGCTGTCTATCAGCTCCATCTGGTGCGCAGGCTGAGACCCTCCCTGCCCACGGACTGTCTCGCCAGAGTGGTACATGCTCTGGTTATCTCCCGCTTGGACTACTGCCATGCGCTCTACGTGGGGCTACCTTTGAAGGTGAGCTGGAAACTACCACTAATCCAGAATGTGGCAGCCAAACTGGTGACTGGGAGCGGCTGCCAAGACCACATAACACCAGTCCCGAAAGAACTACATTGGCTCCCAGTACGTTTCCGAGCACAATTCAAAGTGTTGGTGCTGACCTTTAAAGCCCTCAATGACCTCAAAGGCCCAGTATACCTGAAGGAGCGTCTCCACCCCCATCGTTCTGCCTGGACACCGAGGTCCAGCTCCGAGGGCCTTCTGGTGGTTCCCTCACTGCGAGAAGCCAAGTTACAGGGAACCAGGCAGAGGGCCTTCTCGGTAGTGGCACCCGCCCTGTGAAACACCCTCCCTTCAGATGTCAAAGAGAACAACAACTACCAGACTTTTAGAAGACATCTGAAGGCAGCACTCTTTAGGGAAGCTTTTAATGTTTAACAGACTACTGTATTTTAATACTTTGTTGGAAGCCACCCAGAGTGGCTGGGGAAACCCAGTCAGATGGGCGGGGTATAAATAATAAATTCTATTCTATTCTTAAACCCCTCAGACCAGTTACCTCACATGTGCCCCTCAAGCACTTGAGTCAGCCCACCTGGCCCTTGTGCTTGGAAACGTACTGGGTGCCAATGTAGGTCTTTCAGGACTGGTGTTATGTGGTCTTGGCAGCCGCTCCCAGTCACCAGTTTGGCTGCCACATTCTGGATTAGTGGAATACTCCTGTATTCTGCATTTGGAAAAAATCAATACTTTAGCGTGGCTGCACCCGCACTCTGTAACTCCCTACCTGCGATCCCTTCGTAGAGGGTGGCCTTATAGTCCAGGTATTCATAGTCCTCAAATTTCTGTGATCCTTCGCACAAGACCCGGCACTCTGTATCAGCCACGTGGTAGCCCCTCAGTGCCCTCTCCAGGAACTCAATGGCCGCGTGATACTCTTCTTTGTCGTAATGCTTCACTCCCAAAAGATAGTCCTCCTGTAATACCAAAAGAACATTAAGGACATGGAAAATAGTTTAACTGTATGCTGTGTGAAAAAGGACTCCATTTGATCTGTCCAGAATCTTCCAATACTCAGATTCCTTCAACTAGGGCCAGGGCCTTTTCAGTACTGGCCCCGACTTGGTGGAACGCTCTGTCACAAGAGACTAGGGCCCTGCGGGACTTGACATCTTTCCGCAGGGCCTGCAAGACAGAGCTGTTCTGCCTGGCCTTTGGTTTGGACTCAGTCTGACCCTTATGTTTCCCTCCCCTTATGGTTTTGATCTATGGGCTACTTTTAAAATGAGGCTGCATTTTAAATTGCATTTTAACCTATATTTTAAATTGGTTTCCTTTCCCTATTATGTTTTTACTGTAATTTTACTGGTGTTAGCTTCCCTGAGCTGGGGAGGGTGGGGTATAAATAATAATAATAATTATTATTATTATTATTAATGCTCATTGGAGTTCTAGTGTTAGAAGAGAGGGAGAAAAACTCTATCCATTTCCTCCATGCCACGCATGGTTTCATAAACCTCTATCAGTTCACCCCTTCATCTACTTTTCTCTAAACCAGTGATTTTCAACCCATGTGCCATGGCACCCTGGGTCGCCTTGACTGATGGTCAGGGGTGCTGTGGGCAACACTGTCCTCTGTCTCTCTTTCCTTCCCTCTGATGCCCTCTCGCATCTCTGCCTCCCAAAGGCTTGCACAGCTGTTTGTTGCAGCAGCCCTGGCTACAAGCTCTGCAGGTGAAGGATGCCTCTGGGGCTGGCCATGGGGTGCTGGTTGCCAGGAGCTGAGGTGGCCTCGGAGTAAGCAAGCAAGCAAGCAAGCAGGTGAGGGAGCCCAGTTTGCCAGTCTGCCAGCCCTTGCTGTTGAGATTGGACAGACAAGTCCCAGGCACCTGTGGGGCAGTGTGAAGAGGCACCTCTCCATGGGGCAGCTCAGAAACCAGGGACAGCAGCAGCAGCTGCCCGGAGGACTCCCAAGGAGAGGGGAGAGGAGGCCGAGGGAACACTCCATAAGGGAGGGTGTTTGAAAAAGGGTGAGGGGCTGCCAGCTCTGCGGGCAAGGGGTGACCCAACTGGGCTCCTGAGCCCCTCAAGGATGCCACAGAAAGAAGGTAGTTGGACAAGGGAGTCGTGGACCCCAAAAGGTTGAAAACCTCTGGCCTGAACTAAGTAGTCCCCAGTGCTGAAGCCTTTCTGCACAGGGAAGTCACTTCATCCCCCTGATCAGTTTGGTTGCCTTGTCCTGAACCTTTTCCAACTCTACAATAGCCTTATTGAGGTGAGGTGACCAGAACCCTATGCAGTACAGTGGTACCTCGGGTTACATATGCTTCAGGTTACAGACGTTTCAGGTTACAGACTCCGCTAACCCAGAAATAGTACCTTGGGTTAAGAACTTTGCTTCAGGATGAGAACAGAAATTGTCCTCCGGCGGTGCAACGGCAGCAGGAGGCCCCATTAGCTAAAGTGGTGCTTCAGGTTAAGAACAGTTTTAGGTTAAGAACGGACCTCCGGAACGAATCAAGTACTTAACCAGAGGTACCACTGTATTTCAAATGTGGTTGCACCATAGTTTTTTATTAAGGCGTTATGATACTGGCAACTTCATTTTCAGTCTCTTTCCTGAAGATCCATGCCATGAAAGAACAAGCCTTAGGAGCAAGATGTCACTGATGCAGACCACCAAAGGAGGGGGACCCCCAAAATGCAAGTGAGACAGTGCCAGAAGTCCAGAGAACCCACAGCTCATTGGCAGATGACTTACCGGTATTTCTTGAGCCAAAGACCCCACTCTGCATCCTCAGAGAGGCAAGGTAGAATCTCCTTGAGATCCTTGAGACCTGCTACTGGTCAGTATTGGTCACCAGCCTCTTAGATGCAGGGCAGATTCAGAAAAAGAAAAAGAAACCCATCCATTTCTCCTCACTCCCTAGACCAAGATGATGTCCTCCACATATTTTGGACCACAGAAAGCATCCACCTTGGCCAACACAGCTGATGGGGACATCTCAGGATGTGCTGGAGCCTCCAGAGAGCATTTGGTTCACCTTACTGAAACTCTTTGAGCCTCCCATGTCAACCCACCAAGATTTTGCCCAACCAGGATCCCACCAGATTTGCTCCACGTTGTTTCTGGTGACATTTCAATGGTGGTTGTGTTTCAGATCCGTAAAGCGGCCCAATTTTGCTCTTTGGCAACGTTACCATGTGCGGTCGGGCCTCTCGGTCGATGAGGTCCACCTTCCCCGCCGAGGTCCTGTAATTCTCCAGGTCTTGCTGAACCTCCATGTGCTCCGGGTTCGCCAGGAAGAAGGTGTGGGCTGCATCAGCCGCCTTGTCCAACTGGTTCAGCTGCAAAGGAAAGGAAAAGAAAGAGGCTTTGAGGCTCCTTGCAAAGTGCTCTGAGGTTTTCTACAAACAAGTCGTGCATAAATTTTATGACAGACAGACAGAAAGAAAGAAAGAAAGAAAGAAAGGAAGGAAGGAAGGAAGGAAGGAAGGAAGGAAGGAAGGAAGGAAGGAAGAGCGTGTTTGCTCCACAGCAGATCCCAGAGGGTTGGTTTATTTATTTACACAAGGCCAAAATGAAGTACAATGAAAACACCATGGGTGGGATTCAAGCAAGTTTTACTCAAAGTAGACCCAACAGAATGAATGAACATAACTAAAGACCCTTATGCACAGTACTTTTATAGCAGTATTATAGCATTTTAACCAGTCATCATTTATTATTACAGTTGTTGTTGTAGTAGTAGTAGTAGTAGTAGTAGTAGTAGTAGTAGTATTTATATATTGTCCTTCCTCTGAAGATCACAGAGTGGTTTACAGCCACATGAGCCTCAAGTGACAACAGTGGAACTAGAATTATCCCCAAGCAGACTTGAAATTTATGGCATGTTGTACACTGAAAGAAAATTATATGAAAATGAAATACCGGTGGGATTTGACTCCTAGTAGGTTGGCCAAAATTTATAGGACAAGTTCAAATACCTGCTAGAAATGTAAAGAAAAAGAAGGGACCTTTTATCATATGTGGTGGACTTGTCTGGTAATAAAAGCTTTCTGGGAGATGGTATATAATGAAATGGGGAAAAAATGCTTAAAATAACTTTTGTTAAGAAACCAGAAGCGTTTTTATTAGGAATTACAGTTACTGACATTCCAAAGGAGCAGAAAAGACTTTTCATGTATGGAACAGCCACCCTGTTACTAGCGCAGAGATGGAAAGAAAACAGAGTCCCTACCAGAGAGGAATGGCAAATGAAGCTGTTAAACTACACTGAAATGGCAAAACTGACTGGAAAACTCAGAAACCAAGAGGACAAAAACTTTATAAAAGAAGGGGAAAATTTAGAAGTTATTTAGGAGACCACTGTAAGCAGATGGAAACATTGGCAGAATTTTGATTTCACTTGTAGCGTAAAAATTACCATGGAAGTTTATGGAAGAATATACATTTCTAAATGTTCAAAATGGGAACCCATGGAGGGGGTGGGGGAAGTCATGAGATTCGGAGGAATCTCTGTATATGGATAATATATATTTGGAATTTTTTTTATAACTTTGTATTTGTAAAACCAAATGAAAATGATTTCAAAAACAAAGCAGAATTACAGTGGTACCTCGGGTTAAGTACTTAATTCGTTCTGGAGGTCCATTTTTAACCTGAAACTGTTCTTAACCTGAGGTGCCACTTTAGCTAACGGGGCCTCCCGTTGCTGCCGCACCGCCACTGAGCGATTTCCGTTCTCATCCTGAAGTTCTTAACCCAAGGTACTATTTCTGGGTTAGCGGAGTCTGTAACCTGAAGCGTATGTAACCTGAAGCATCTGTAACCCGTGGTACCACTGTACCTCCAAGGTGGGTGTCCCAGGACCTCCAGACACACTGCCCAGAGAGGTCACATTGGTGCTACTAACAGACCTGTTTGACTTCACCCCTGGAGGTGTACTCCATTGTCTTGTGAGACAGACAGAGGCCAACAATTCTGTGTTGTGGTAATTCCCAGACTGGACTACTGCAATGTGCTCTACGTGGTTCTGCCCTTGAAGACGACTCGGAAAGGTCAATTGGTCCAAAATGCAACAGTCGGATCCCTGGCTGGGGTTCCATTGAAATCTCATATAACCCCCTTTTGAAAAACAGCTGCATTGGCTGCCAGTTCATTTCCAGGCAGATTGGTGCCCAAAGTCCTTATCCGCTCGGTCTTCTTTACCGTGGCCTTCTGACACCTGAGGTGCAAGTTTTCAGAGCCCACCTTGTTTTTATGAGTGTAAGTCTTTAAAAAACACACACAACCGAAATGGTTTTTCATATTGTGTTTTAATGTTATAACCCACCCAGGACCTCACGGCAGAGGGGGGGAAATAAACAAATAAATATCATAATAAGGATGTCCTGATGGGAAGGGGCAATGCCAGAGCGAATGCACCAAGCGGCGCAGATTCCCTCACAACCTCTGGGCCACGGAGGTGTCCCTGAAAATGTGTTGCTTTTCGGAAATGGGAAGCAACTGCCAGAACTCATAAAACGGGCTGTTTGCTTAACTGGCAGCGAGAGGCGTCTCGCCTTGTACTGTACATGCAGTTCAGCAGAGCTCTGGGAAAACAGTGGATTAAAAAAACAGGGGTACACATCCCAACGTTGGGCTCGAACCCACAACCTGAGATGAAGGGCTGTGATTCTGCACCAGATCATCTGCTTTGCATGCGAACAGCATAGCTGTCAAGCGTCCCTTATTTGACGGGAAAGTCCCTTATCCCAGTGCTGTGTCCCGCTGCTGTCTCTTATTGATGATGTCCCTTAAATTTCCCGGGTTTCAAAGGAAGCAGCTCCTCTCCCTCCCTCCCTGCCGGCCAGGGAGGAGGGAGGCTCCAACTGTGTTGCTTGGCTGCCCGGCCCACCCCCCTCCGGCCTCCTCTCACCAGCCTCGGCCCCCGGGAGCCCCTCCCTGCCGGGACTGGTGGTAGCCTCAGGCCCTTCCGCCGCCGTCCTCCTTGCTGCCGCCAAACTGAGCGTCTCTGCCTGGGGCCTCCCCTCTGCCCGCCGCTCCCACTAGGCCGTACTGCGGCTGTGCCGCCAAAGGACCCGGATGAGATGGGCAGCCTGGCATGGCCTATGAATTGCTGAGGAGCCTTGAGAGGAGAGTGAGGGCAACCATAGAGAAAGCAGTTCAGAGAGAGGAGGAAGAGGAGAAGGCGGAGGCGCGGGCAAGTGTTCTAAGGGCTACAAGGGAAGGACCGCAAGCACTTCTCCCATAGATTTGTAGTGGTAGACTAGCATAGATGGTCTGATCTGCGGGTTTACTTTGGGCACTATTCCCCCCCCCTCTTCCTCCCGCCCCGCCTGATGGAACTGAGAGCTGCAGATGGAGCACGAGAGAAAAGATACAGAACTGCAGCAGCATCTTCGTAGCTTGGACTTCATTTTGCGTGAAAAGTGGTTGCTGCTTGTAGTTATTTAATTGCAGTGTTTCATCGGCTGGTGTCTTGAGCAGCAACCTCTGGAAACGAAGGGCTAAAAACCGGCACTGCTCTCCAAAATTATCTGGTCCCTTTTAACTTCGTATTTGAGCTGGTTGACTAAAATCCCTTATTTTGGCTGCTGGTCCCTTATTTTCAAATATGTAAGTTGACAGCTATGGCAAACGGTCCTTCTGATTTCAGTCCCAGGCATTTCATGAGCCCTTGTCCCAAACCCTGAAAGGCTGCTGCCAGCAGAGTGGACAGAACTGAGTTAGATGGGCCAATGGGTCCAACTCCGTACAAGGCAGCTTCCTGTGTTCCGCAACCTCTTGAAACTTGGAGAAAGCCGGAGGTTTTTCTGCAGCAGCACTTAAGAAGGAATGTGGCCGTCGCTGGCAGCGAGATCTGCTAAGAGCACCCTGGTGGTTATCAATTACGCACTTGCTTCCCTTCCTCGCTTGCAGTGCGAACTTCGTGTTCTGCGCTGAGCACGTCCAGGCAGGGCTCTGCGAGGCCAGGAAAGAACCAACCCAGAGCTGAGCACAGCTGCCCCACCTTGTACCTCCAGGGCGCGAACGTGCCATTTCTCCCTCCCGCTCGAAAACCTCAGCCCCTTTTCTTGACTCGCCTGAGCGCTTGGCATTTTTGGAGACCGCTTCAAACAACGATTTAAGACTTCTCATCGTGGAAAGCATGGGACACAGGTGGCGCTGTGGGTTAAACCACAGAGCCTAGGACTTGCTGATCAGAAGGTTGGCGGTTCAAATCCCCGTGACGGGGTGAGCTCCCGTTGCTCGGTCCCTGCTCCTGCCAACCTAGCAGTTCAAAAGCACGTCCAAGTGCAAGTATCAGTGTTTCCCAACCGGTGTTCCGCGGCACACTAGTGTGCCGCGAGACGTTGCCTGGTGTGCCGCGAGATGTTGCCTGGAGGGAGGCGGGCGAGTCGGGCGGCGAGAGGCGGGGCGGCGGCGGCGAGGAGAGGCCGCCCAGCGCGGCTGCCTGCGTGGCGCTGACGTCACGGGGCTGTAACGTGCCCCACATAGGCACTCGCGGGGCGGCGAGCGAGCTCCCTCCCACATCCCATCGCCGCTCGCTTCGGCCGGCCTACTGGGCTGTCGCAGGCGGAAGGCCTGCGCATGCGCGAGGTTTTCGTGCCTTCGGGATTCCCTTCACGCCTTCCTCCTCCCGGGTCCTTGAGAGCGCGGGAAGCGGCAGTGCGAGACCGGCGTTGAGCCTGGTAGGTATTGCGCTTGCCAAGGCAGTCATTTGGGAAATGAAAACTTGCAAAGCAAGCAACCAGTTCAATCTGAAGTACGTGTATGCTTAATATCCTGTATCTGAAACCTGTTCTGCCCCCTCCCCCACACTTGGTGCCATTTTCATCTACACATGCAGCAGAGTAAGTTGACCCAGAATAGTACCAATTCAGATGGCAGATGGGAGAATGACAGTGCTGAAAGCTTTCCCATGTAGAACAGTCCCTGCAAATAAAAACCTAGCACAGTGTTTCCCAACCACTGTTCCGCGGCACACTAGTGTGCCGCGAGATGTTGCCTGGTGTGCCGCGGGAAAAATTAAAAAATTGAAAGATATATATTTTTTTTAAAGTCAAATTTTCGATTGGGGCGCCGTCACTAGATGACCCCTGGGGTTCCCTCCCTCCCTCCCGCTCTGCGCCTCCCTCCTCCTCCTCCTCCTCCTCCAGGGAGGCCCTTCCTGGCTCTCGGCCAAGGCTTGGCGGCTGCCACTCACTCACTCGCTCGCCCACCCGTCCCTCCATCCCTGCACCCGGCCTCTCCCCCTCCGTCCCCGGCGCAGGGGCTGCCGGGATCCGTAGTCCCCTCGCCCTTGGGCTCCGCGCCCGCGCGGGGTGCGCGAACTACGTTT